GGATAGCTGTAGTGACACCGCTCATCACGAACGCGGCACTGATTCGACTTTGCCCCGAGTTTACCAAAGCTGTCCACTCTTAGGCGTCTGGAAATTCGTACCAGACTTTTGTGGACACAGTTCACTCCAATTAGCAACGCTCTACCCTAGTTTTCTTAAAACTCTGAGAAGAATTGACTCAACCTGCACTTGACCTCATTCGTAAGGAAGACGTCAGTAATCAATATGCAGCGGACCCATATGCGAAAAGTTGAAGGACTCTGATAGATAAATGATGATGTGATAGAAAGATGATAGAGGTGAGGAAGAAAAACGAATGTACGAAGTGCTGAAATCCACGCAACATATGCAAAAATAGATCGCGTAGAATAGAAAATAATAGTACCACGTACAACCACAGATTCACTTGAAGTCACTCATCACGCGATAGGAAGATAAGAATTCAAGGATTAAAAATGGAGACTATATGAAAATCGCATAATTCGACATTTTACACGTGTACTACTTTAGTCAAATAGTAGTAGAAGCAAGTAATAATAACCTTGTAGCTGTAGCAGTAGTTGGTAACAATGTAGACTTGTCGTTGCCAACTTACCTTAACGATCATTGGCTTCAAAATTAGAACTATCAATTTATGATTTTATCCTATTAGATCAGTGATGCACTAACATCACTTGCAAACATATATAAGAGGATGGTGTTCGGCAACTTCGCTAATCGCCGCGGACACATATGGATAAACGGATGAGCGTCCTGCTTTCTACACAGCAAGCACCAACTGTGAGAGAGTAGCAGGCCGCTTCTGTGTTTGTGTGGCTACTGCTTGTATTTGTGATCGTTCTTTGCAAAAGTCTTTCAAAATCATGTCTTCAGTGTGAGCCTTCTTATATTGTGGTCAAAATTCTGTTGTTTTCGGGTCTGCATGTGCACTGCTTTTGATAAACATGAAAATTTCCTTCACACTAAATTCTTAGGTTTAGCACTGTGAAAACTATAGAAAATCAATGAAAGAGTCGTAATAACACAAAGGCTGTAGATTCAACTTGATTAGGTTGAATTTTGATTTTGTGTCCCAGATCCTTCCTGTTGATGGGTGATTGGTGATGGCACCGTTAGAGTAAAAATTTGGTTGAGAGAAAGGCAATGCAAGAGTACCAATGGTCCATGAGCCCCAGGTAATAGTAAGTGCCAACTGGAAGTTCAACTAAGTTTTTGAGCTTTGCTCTTATCTTAACATTCTTGCGGTTGTATTTCATATAATGAACTGTCGTGAAAAAAGAATAGCCAGAAATAGAAGTTAAACAGACACACAAATGGTTTAAGATGTAGAGAGTGAAATCAACTCAGCGGCACTTGAAGTGTAAAACCGTTTGCAACAAATACTACAATAGCTTTGCAAGCTCATTTCTACCACATAGGCATTCACAACACTGGCTACAATGTAGCGTAGCAAATAACAGGATTGGAAACGAATTCCATCACAAGTGGTTGATTTGTTGAACTTCTAAAAATATTGTGATAATCCTTGGTAAACTTTAGCACACTTTTCCTGGTTGGTAAAAAGTTGCGGAATTGTAGGTTGATTCTTAAGCTGGAAGACATGTTTTGAAGATTTTCCTGGTGGCTAGGATCCTTCATCTCTTCCAGGAGCTCATCAAATGTTGAGATATCGGCTTGATACTCACTTGCTCCTTGAACGGCCCGTCCTCACTTGTGCTGGCCCCAGTATCACCTGTAGTCCCGTTGATTGTTGAGTGACTCGAGTAGGCGCCAGTAAATCTTCCGTTTTTCCATGTTGGGTGCAAGAGTAGCCCAGTGGGTTCTGCTCGCTCTAGGGACTCGTTGAGCATCATATCTTTCTTCAAGACTAGATTTTAGCAGCCTCTCCGTACTCGTCCTACCCAACGCTGCAAAATTGGGGGATACGAAACGAATCCGTTCCTCATGAACACCGTTTTTGTGAGATTTAGTCGAAGACCAATCTTTCCAGAGGCTTCATCAAAGCCGGCAAGCATTCGTTCCGCTTCGCTAATGTTTGATGCTATAAGGACGATGTCATCAGCAAAGTAAAGTTGATGTAACTGCCGATCATCGATTTTCACTCCCCTATTTTCCCATTCCAATGTTTTCGTTACGTTCTGGAGGGTGGTAGTAAATAATTTTGGCGAGATGGTATTGCCTTGGCTAACTCCTCTTTCGACTTCAATGTTAATATCGTTGTAGAATGGTGATATCTTGGTTGTGAAATTTTGAACAGCTTACGAAGAATCTTTATGCACTGAGTAGGGACTCGTTGACTATCAAGGGCTTCCAAGACTGCTTCTATTTCAACCGAATCAAAGGCCTTCTGTAAATCGATGAAAGTGAGACAGAGCGGTCTTTTGTACTCTCGCGGTACTTCAATGAGCCGTGTTACCGTGTGGATGTGGTCCATCGTACTAAATTGTTTCGAAACCCTGCTTGCTCACGTGGCTGTCCTTCGTCTAGCGTTCTGCCAATCCTGTTTAGGATGACTCGAGTGAAAACTTTATAGACGACAGACAGTAAGCAGATTGGGCGGTAGTTGCGGATATCGTGTAGGTCACCCTTCTTGAGCAATAAAGAGAGAGAGACCCTTCTTGCTGGTCTTCCACTGAGTACGGACCTTGCATTCAGACAGGCAGCGTGTGAAGAGCCGAGCCAATGTGCTTACAAGGACTGGCGGAATGTTCTTCAGGTGTTCTGGTCTTATCCTGTCCAGACTTGGTGCTGTTCGATTTTTCACCGACGAAATGGCAGGTCGTATTTCGGAAGGGAGAACCGATGGTACAACATATCCATCCTCCTTTATTTCATATGACGGAAGGTGGACGTGGCTATCGAATAGATCCGAGTAGTGTTCGTGAATGATTTTCTCCATTGCCTTTCTGGACGCAACTATCCCGTTTGGGCGTCGGAGTGCAATCATCTTGGTTTTGTAATTGGCAAAACGTCGGTGTGCTTTGAGAATATTTTTTCCCAGCCTCTACTGCTTCGAACATTACTGCTGCTTTCCTCTCTTTAAGATCATTTATCTTCTGTCTGCATTGCTTTGCAAATTCGGACGCTAGTTCGCGGTTGCCTGCAGCTCGTGCGATTCCACGCTGGCGCATCAGCTCGAGCGTTTCTGGAAGCAAACGTCTCTTGGTTACTTTCGAACTCTCAGCTTTCACAGTGCAAACGTGAAGATGTTGAATGAGCCGACCGTATTCTTCGCCGATGTTATCGAAAATGGCATCTTCCCAACAGTGGACTAATGAATTGAATAAATCCCAGTTTACGGTGGTTCTGGAACTACGGTTTTAGAATTTGGCGGCTTTTTCTCCTTTTCGCGGGAAATAGAATCTTGTACGAAAGAGACGATGGTCTGATCCCGTGTAGAATTTTGGGACAGCGGCGACATCGGTTAGGCAAAACCTTCTATTTGCTATAATGTGGTCTATTTCGTTATGGTGCTCTCCTTCGAAAGTCTCCCACGCTCAGCGTTGAAGGTGGGGTTTTGGAATTGCGTGTTACCATGGATAGTCTCGGCCGTCATCATAAACTCACGTAGCCGCTCACCTTGTTCGTTCCACTCTAATCCATGGGTTCTGATGTGACGTTCATCAGACATTCTTCTTGGTCCAATCTTGGCGTTGAAATCTCCAATGATGACCTTGAAGACTGTGTGGCCTTCTCTGTAGAACTTCTCCAAGTCCATATAGAACGCTTCGACTTCTTCCTCGTCATATCTTTAATTCAGCGCGTAAAAGACGAAGAATCTCAAAGCCGGTATTGATCCATATCTTTTTACTCGTAAACGTCCGATTGGAGTTGTAAGCTGTTCGAATGAATCGATGTCCATGGACAAACTCGTATTGACGAGAACGCCGGCGCCGCCGACTCCTCTACTGTCGCATGTTCCGAGGAACAGTTGTTCTCTGGCGTCATAGACAGCGTTGAATGGGTGGCGTCGTCTTGTCTCGGCCAGGCCGATGACGTCGCACCTTCTCCTTCCTGCTTGCATGAGCATGTCTTCTATCGAGGACTCGAATGCAAGTGTACGTGCATTGTAGTTATATTGCATCGTCACCATAATTCTTCGTGATCCATGCAGCTTCCATTGGCCCTGAGATTTTAGCAGCCTCTCCGTACTCGCCCTACCCAACGATGGGAAATTGAGGGCTCTTTCGGGGTCAGGCGAATGAGGCCAGTTTTTTTAAAATTGTGTTTAGCATTTTGATACTCACGTATAACTAACTGAGCTCCGAACGTGGAGGTTGGGTATACTCACGAATAGCTTGCCAGGCTTTCCCAGAGTGGACATGGAGCTTATTTGTTGGAGGTGACTCTTAACCGCCTCCCATATACTTCCCAGTCACTTGATTGCAGGCCTTCAGTCGAATTGACTCATAGAATACAATCCGCATAAGCAAGAACGCACCCACACACGCATGCATTAATACGTCTAACAAATACAGAAAGAATGTGCCAAATTAGCGGAGCAGAAACAGAGAGTCCATCCCCTGGATCCACTTGCGTCTCAGGGAAGCAAAGGTCGCTTTTGGTCCGCAATTAACCCTCTATGCGCTACATGGGGACGCGTCACGTAGCCTCGCGACTAACCGGCTCGAGATCCCTCATATGAGGGAGATTCATGGATATCTTATCATTATTATTAAATGTTTACCATTTTTTGTATAAGCTGTTGAACTTACATGAGCTTGTTGCATAACTTTATTCTGCTAAAGTTTCGACATCTTCATCTTCATCTTTCGGACCATCGCTTTGTATCATCGGCTGTGGTGAAGACGAAAACGTCGAAGCGTTAGCCCAATAAAAGTGATGTAACAACCTCGTTTAAGCTCATGAGTTTATACACATTTTAATTATTTTATTACAAAGGTTAAATGAGTGTCGGTTTGAAAATTACTTGCTACTTTATTACCAGATGGTTGTGTTTAGCTTTTAAATATCTTCATATAGCTTTGTGGATTTTCTAGGAATACGCACCGTTTCTTATCCGGAATAAGATTTCTGGCGCTTCAGCCGGTGCTATAGTAGCGACCTGTCTCGTAACGAACGTTTGTTTATCACAAGCTACTACCACGATCTTAAAAATAGTTACTCAAGTCAGTTTTCTGTCACCATTCTTGTTCTTTTATCGAAGTGTCTCGCACCGACAGTCGTAACCTCGTTTTCAGGCGCGTTCACGATCCTTCGGCCCTCTACATCCCGATTTTAACCTACTTGAATTGGTCCGTTATGAAATGTCTTATAAATTGCCTGCTGACGCGTATAAAGAGTTAGTTTTCGCAATTTATTGATTGCCTGTGTAGAGTTTAAAATCTTGTGTTTAATATATCCTTCGGCACAGGTGTTCTGGTCGGTTGCAAATCTCGTTAACCCGATGGAGCGATAACAAAAATGTCTTGGTCAACGAGTTCACATCAAATGACGACTTGATAGATGTATCGATTTTTTGTAAATTGATTGACTCTGGATGTAAAAGTTTGCTGAAGACTGTAATTTTTGGCTGAATTCCTGCTCTGTTTAAGGCAATAATCTGTAGTTGCTTCATCCCTGTATACTGTGGTAATACACCGCCAACATTTCGAGGCATTGCCTATGTCGATGGTGGTTTCAGTGACAATCAACCATCATATGATGATTACACAGTAACAATCAGCCCATTTTCGGGAGAATCTGATATTTGTCCGCTTGATTCGGACACGGCCGGGTACGTCACATGCTTTTTGAAGAATGAAGGATCTGGAAAAGAGTAGAGTTCAGTGGTTTAGCTAATTTTCATGCTTTTTTGTCTTATCTTTGTTGTCAATAGTCGGGTTACCTGGCTGGTCGTTTATTTTAAACTAGTATCCTTAATTTCTTTGAAACGGTAATAAAATAATTCCCACGATCGACTTTCTATTAACCTTTGGATTTATCAATTAACTCTTTACATTCTTGTTGAGCAAACGCGAGGTGTTATTTTTTCTTTATTCACGAACAAGCTGAGGTTTCGGCGAATTTCACCTTCCTCAGAACAGCTTTCTGTGAGTCTTCCACTGAAGATGTGGCTGAAGAGCGGATCTGAGGAAGGAGAAATCTACGAAACGTCAACTTCTTCGTGAATGAGGGATAAAATAACATATGTTTGCTGAACAAGAATATAAAGGTAATAAAATAGTTGAGAATAGTATAGTAGATTGGAGGTGTCAGTTTTTCTTTTAGTTTATTCGGCATGACCTTCTCTGGTACTTCGATTCGATTCACAACAGGCAACCTCTTCCGGCTGACAGCATGTTTGATGCCTCCATCTGGCGAGAATTGTTCCAGGATATGCCAACAAGGATTTGATGACGCTCTTCGATTTATTTCCAGAAGTTGCTTATAATCTTTATTTCGAAACTGTGCAAGAATTCACTATTCCAGGTTATATTTCAGCGATAGCACCGTGTATACGTTGCCTTTCGATCCATACGAAGAATTATAATAAATTACAAGAAGTCCCCACTCCTTTAAAGGAGGGCGAGTTCACGTGTGTAAAAACCGGCTTCAGTCAACTAACGAAAACAGCTATTTTGAGGTACGTACGGCTGTTCTGGAAGACATTGAGTGTTTTCTTCGGATTTTGTGAATTAGTATTCAGGAAGAAGCTTCTGTCGGAATGTGACTTTTGTGGTGATAGTGAAAATATACAGAGTGCGAGCCCGAGCGACTTGTTTCCGGTCTTTCTTAAAAAAGGTCCGAAGTTTCGAGGGTATTTGGAGCTTTGCTCATTTGAAGTTTTATGGCTGGTATAGTTACTTGGTGTTGTATTAAGATAAGCCGTACATTTTAGCATTCGAAGAAGCTTATGCCACGGAAGATTCTATTTTCAATTATTTCCTTTCTTTCCGCTTGTTTCGTTATACCCGTGCGGCAGTTACTGTTGGAATGCTACCACTCGAACTGTTCATTATTCTAATGAAGAAGTAAGTTCATTCAACTGTTTTTATGTTTGGTCAATTAGTACAAATGATACGAATATCCTGGTATTGGTTTACTCTTAGCTGGGTTTCCTGACGAATACCAGGAATCACCTTTGCCCTGGTATCAAACTAGTCGCATGGTGGCAAATCTCCCTCGAATCCACAAAGACTGCGAGTACGTGTGGTGATAACTTGGGGCAGACTTTAGCTAGGCTGACTTCGAGACTCCAGGGAGCCATAATGGCTAAGCCATCAAAGCTCGGAAAAAGTGTAAATTATGCTGGGGCTGGCACGACCGCCAGTGGAAACTCGCTATCCAAGTGTCCAAGTAAGGTACAAAAATAGTAGCATTGAAGTTTGTTGACCACAGGACTGACTGATCCTTCGTAGTACTTCCAATTTCTGCTTTCGAATTTAGGTAGAGCAATAGGTAGAATTCCGTGCACCACATACATTTTCAGGTTTGCATCACGGTTATCAGTTGCCGTAGTTCCTGAGTGGCTAACGGCCAGAATTCAAACCTTGATTAACTTTGTACTGATGGGAATTGAACATCAGAAGAGACGTTATTCTGGGTATATTTGTATTTACGTCTTCCTGTTTTTGTTTTTTCGTATTTGCTTGCTTATTTGCGCTTTCATTGTAGTATAGAGGTTGACGTTGGCAAAATATCCTGTTTGGTTCTTGTCGTATTTGGAAGTTTGTCTAATCTTTGAATAACGACAACTTCTATTATTACCAAATTTAGCAATTTGCTATATTTAGTTAATCCATGAGATAGTACGCATCAACCTTGGAGCATCTTCTTTGTTTCTTAAGCGCGCTTTTGCTTTTGGCACCAAGCATTTTTTTCATTACCTTTTGTTCAGAATTGAAACTTATGCTATTTACACTTTGTGCTATTTTCAAATGCATTGCAAATTTAAAAGAACTGCTAGGATGAATTTGTGTGTTTTCTATGAGCCCAGTGGCTATGTTCACGATCACTGTACGTATGGACTAACTCGGGGACCGTTGGTAGTGAGGGTAATGCGAAGGTTTCTCTACTGTGCTTTTACATCGTCCGACATGGGCCTGCAGAATGCACTTCATCGGTTTTGTGTTTTTGTAGAGTGTGTCTTCGAAAATGTTACAAGTCTGAGTTTTGAGAACTTCTGAGTCGATAATTCCTTTTGACAGCCAACAAAGCGTCTCCATTGGCAATCGATTGGTCCCTGCGAGGAAATGAGTGGATGACAATATAGAGTACTATCAATTTGAAGGTAACACGCACGCACCTTGGCCTTGAAGTCATTTATTCCAATCTTCTGCATATTTTAACTTAAGATTGTTTATGTATTTCGCGAACCACGTTAAGACACGGGGTGGGACGAGAACACTATGTGTCTAAACAATGAAGGAGCAAAATATGTGTACTATTCGCAGGTTTTGCAGTAATGCGAAGAATAGAGCTTCATTCAGTAGCTTGTGTCCACAAACAGTCTTGTATAGTTGTAGCATTTGGTCAGCTGTGGCTCAGAGGGTCAATATCGAGGATGCGCTATGTCGAGGACCTCATAGTGTTCATTTTATATTTCCGCGAAGGCGTCATACTTGTTCTATTCCGTTGAGCCTTCAACTCTTCTCTATGCGGGCTTTCAGTAACTGCTTAAGAAGTTTTTTTCAGTTTTTCCTGAACATTCCAATCGAATGAGTTTTTTTCTTCTTAGACCAATCTCTTAGCAGTGGATTCACTGTTCGCCTAAACATCCGTATACACCACTTGTCGGTATAAAGATGTATCCTATCATCCTTTTCGTTGCCCATAAGTATTATAAGGCATACGTCCAGTTTTAGAGATTCCCGAAAAATTCAACAAGTGAGCTAATCTTTCAATCTGTGTGGTCCATCGTAGAGAAGAATTAATGGCTTTTCAAATCTCTATCTTATCCTGTAACATTGAACTAGCAATACCATATAGACGGAACAGAACAAGGAGGTCCAGAAATCCACGACTCACAGAAGTCCAACAATTCTCGTTTGAAAGACGAGACCTATGAATATTTCATCTTTTCAGCAGTTATCAATTCTACGATTGGTCATTATGTCCGCATCTGTTGGTCTTCACAACGAAACCGAAATATGAGCTATAATGAACTCAAGAAAACGTAAATGCTCTCCGGATCTGAAGATAAATTTTTCGACTGCTTGCTTATTGTCATCGAAGATCTCTCACCATGTTTAACTCATCGCCGCAGCATCATCGACGTTTTCATCTTTACCATCTCTTCTTACCCACTTTTTGTCAGATATTAGACGGCAAGATAACATATTCGTGATTGTTTTCCAGTGTTTTTGGCTTTTGTTCATTTTAGAAGGAGGCTCGATATCACTAATGAAGTCTAGTTCATCTTTACTTGTCATAGTTTTTGTCTATGGAATTAAATTCTTGACGAGGAATCAATTTAAATCGCTATAGTGGACGACGGTTATCATATAAAATGTGTGGATATGACAAATATTTCCGAAAATATACTCAATATGTTGCTCATAATGCGAAACTGACCATCGAGGGTCGACAGCACAGTTGCATTGAGTGAATTTTTCAATCATATTTCACTTCTGCAAACCATTTCGAACCTTATGCATTGAATCCACTGCGCACCGGGTGCGGTGTAGAACTAAGCGCCCACATGGGGGAGAATGACATCACTCACAGTGTAAAAACTGTCGCACATAATTCATGGTATTTGCTTGCTGTCATAAGTGTATCGGTATTGTTACTGTACTGAACCTGCTCTGTATCAACGTTCCTTTCATATTTTTAGCACACAGATCATCTAAGATTCCTTCATAGTGTAGAGTTACTGCAACACTTTATGTTCATGCGTAGTGTTTTTTATCCATAGCGAGGAATCTATGATTTGTCATTTTACCTAGTCGAACGCTCAGGAAAATGGGCTACCATTATTTATGTATTGCTGATTTTGCCCAAATTTTTTATCGCTCACGTTATGGGTCACACTGACTCACGCCAGTGAAAGTACCCTCACTTATGAGCCTACCATACTTGGATACTTGGATAGTTGAATGGCCCGTCGTCACTGGTTGTGCGGGCCGCAGCATAATTTCCATCTTTTTGGAATTTTGTTGGTTTAGCTATTGTGATATTGGAGTCCCGAGGTAAGCCAAGCCAAAGTTTGCCCCAAGTCGTTACCACCACAAGCACTCGCCGCCCTTGTGAATCAGAAAGAGATTTGTCATAGAGAGGTACTGGGTTTTCTTTGTATGTCATGCGTGGTTCGTTTCAGATTCTCATGCTTCCTTACTTCGCCTGAGATTTCTCGTTCGAAGCCAGAAATTGCAAGTGAGTTGAATGCAGGTGGAAGTAAAGACTTTACCCCTGTTCGTGAAAACGAGAAGAGGAAGAAAGTTATGGTAAGTACTATTTGAGTATTTTCTTGTTTCTAATGGGTTTATAGAGGATGTGCAATATAGTGTCGATCTTTCGAGTAACAGTAATGATTAGATGTAATAGAACCATTTCAAATTAAGGGCATTACGGTGGTTGAAGAACCTATCGAGTGGACTTCGCTTGATGATACGGTCAATGACGACTCACTCGAGCATGTTATAGAGTACACCAAATCGCATGATACCATGTACGAATTCCACTATCTGGATGAAAATAACCAAGTAAGAGTATTTATGCCTTTAATTGCTTCCTCTTTATGTCGTTTTCGCTTCATCTAGGTGTGCAGCTTCGAATTTTTCAACGTGGGTGATCCTTTCAAGAGACACGACTGTCATTCACATATTAATGACGCCTCCGTTGTATCGGAACCTGAAACGGTAGGCCTCTATTGTAAATACTAAAATCGCGATTCTTAGTGGTGTTCTTAATATGTCTCCATTGTCTTAATAGATGGCGAAAGGAGAACAAAAAAGCCAACACGAAGGAGAGTTACGCGACTCAGATTTATTGGGTGTTGGAAGCCAAACGAAGACAACGTAAGTGTTTTTTGTATTCACTGCTAGTTGTTCGTGTTTTATGCAAAACACTGGCAGATTTCTTTTCAATATGCTCCCTCCCCACAGGATTTATTCGCGGTCTAGTTTTTTCTTAGAGATTTATCCTAAAAGATTTAGATGTGTTGATGAGTGCTGTTCACGTTCGCAATATTCTGCAAATCCTTCGCGAAGAAATTGTCCCAGAGAAGGAGAAGTTCACCCTGTTCAGTCGTCGTCGAGGTCGGAAATTTCTGGTTAATGGTATATGTTTATTTGTTACGTACAACGGGATCCTCGTGTAAATAGTAGTAAGCAACAACGAACTAAAAATTTAATAATGTTCCTATCAAATGTGGAATTTGTCAAACATATCCCTCCATCATAGGAGCTTTCCGTCTCATTACTGTTCACGTGGTCATCCAAGCCGGGAATAAGCTCGAGATTTTCGTCTGGAAGCTCAACTAAGAACAGACCGCGTTCACGAGTCTTCTCCTTTCGTACGGAAAATATAACTGTAAAGTGGTTCCATTCTTGTTATGCCCTCAAACTTCTTTTCGATCCCAGTGGGCCGTTAGCTGTCTGTGGTGACTATCTGTGATGGTATTGCTTTCTCTATGGCGCAGATAAGAACACTTGTTCGCTAAGCGAGTTAGGACCAAGTGCCCTTGATTGCCTCACAGCAGACACTCCATCGACGACATAAGGCGGTGAGACGACATGATCGACGAGAGGCGACCTACGCCGGAATAGTGGAGCCCTTCCTGTACGGCTATCCAGCCTATGAAGGATAATTGATATGATCCTTGCAAATATGTGAAGATTTTCAAGCAAATTTCATTTGAAACTAGTTGAGAGAGAGGCGAAACGAAGGACCCGCACGGTGTGGTAGTGAACGCGTTAGCCTCCGTAAAGAATAGCGCACCTTTTTTCTTTCCCACCGCAGACACTTGCGATCCGGAGTCTTGCAAATATCTCAGCATAACTGTGGTTATATCATGAATAATACCCTGCCGTGAAAAATTGTAATAGGCAGTGAGTAACAAAAAAGAGGTTCATTTAGTTTAGGAATTAAAGTTCTGAAGGCTGTTGCTGCGTATCTAGAGGAGCGTAAAGATTGACGTCTGATGACAGTATGCTAGTATTGTAAATGTAGTGTTGCAGTGTCCTGAACTAACAGTACTTACAAGAAAATTCATCCCACGTGGCAATGCCACCGAGGTCCTTCTTTGAAGCATTGAAGTGCATAATGTAGTCTCTCAACGTGAATGAAGGTTTAGCAAACCATGACCGAAAGTTGTTATCAAATTTCACCTTTACCGCCGATATGTTCCAAGAATTGCCTATGAAGCGAACGAGAGACAGCGCTGAAAGTTAGGAGAAAACTCGGTTCATGAAAATCTTATCGTAAGATGGAAGAAATCGAGATGAGTGGTTATTTGATTACAAAACACGCATCAGACAGATTATATTTCCGTTTTTAATACACTGTTCTCAAATATAAAAGGTGTGGAAAACACTAAACCAAAATCGCAGACTATGCCTGTCTTCGAAATCCAGGCGAAATATGGTGGGTTGTTATAGCTGAATCGTGTTAGAAGTATTGATGAAAAATGGGCGAGAGCAAGGTTAGGGCGAACCACAGTTAGAGTTGTGTACAAAATAAGCGCTTCTGTGGAAAACGTGGCGAGAGAAAACAACCAGTGGAAAATGTGCTATGGTCTGCATGGCTCGTAGTGATGTGCCATCCATATACCTAAATGTTTGAATAAGTTTGTTAATCAACAAAAGATACAACTGCTTATTTATTTTTGTTGAAAGAAATTCTTTTAGTGAAAGCAGGTGCTTCTCTAGTTTAGTGTTGATTTATAGCTTAATGTTGCTTTTCCAGTCGAAATTCGCACTCATCTCGTAGTGCTTGTGCTGAACCTGCGTCCAAAGGCGTTGGAAGAGATTTTGTACTATGTGCTTCATCAGACTGTGAGCGGAACGACGAAGACGATAAGGCTTCCGTTCTAGCACGACGCTATTGAATATAAAGGTGACCTGGATCCAAGTGGCACTAATGTTATCGTCCTTATAGATTCCACCTTAACTTCGCTCGATTTCAGATAGACGATAAATTGACTCTGTGGTAATGGATTACTTGCATACGTCATATGGTTCCTCGTTAAGAAACTGTGCTTCGAACGAAATCCATTTCTTGAATGCTGGATCGTTTCACTCTCAAATGAAGTGTATTAAGTGTATTTTGAAAAAATAGAAGAAATTATTTTCCCTTGGTTCCGGCGTCGCTGCGATGTGAAGCTGATTTTATTTTTTTAGTAACTTAATATTTGTAACTGTTTAGAATTAGCTGTAAATAGTCTGACTAATTCCTATATTGTCAAAGACAACCGTTTCACTTGAATTCACCATAGTGTACATAAGGTAGAGCTTCTCGTGCTTAAACATTGCTTAGTTTCTTGATTCCAATTTTTGTTTTGTTCCAGTCCACCCTTCTAAATTATATAGCATTATTGTTAATTTTTTGTATAACTTGTTGAAAGTGATCGACAAGTTATGTTTCGCATTTTTCGTGTCCTCGACTAGTTAAAGAAAGTTAATAAGCGGTGAGTTCTAGGTGTATGTGTGTATGTGCTAATGCGTCCAGACTTTTTTTTCCCACGGGTCTGACTACTCTGACAAGCGATGCCTTTAATCTGATTTTTCTCCATCGATGGATGGACCATATTTTACTGGATAATGTTGAGTCATTAATAATGTTCCAATGATAACAGTGTAAATAAACAAGTTAGCAGTTGTTTTCTATATTGCTCAGAGAGATATTACGACTTGGTCCCACTCGTAACATCACAACTTTGAGAAAGGCGAAATCGCCGTAACGTCAGCCGCCTAGCAACAAGAACAACAGCTCAGAGAGATACTTCAGTGGACAGCAAGTGAAGTTCAGAAGGGAACCTACTTCACACTGCTCACTGTTACCGTCCGGCCGTATTTGGTAATGGTGGTCGGAAATATCACGCTAAAGAAAGGAGAAAGGACAAAGCTCTCGGCATTGATCAATCTCTGAGAGATGCGCCATGCATTCGACTTCACTAAGTATCGTTGGAGGTGATTGAATGCATGTCTTATCTGACCTTTACAATGGCTCGCGATGGCTTACCGATGTAACGAGCAAATGATGATATCTACACAGACAAATCTGGTAGCAGGGCATGGATCCCATGTGTGTATTGCAGGGCGCTTCCGACCATTGTGCCGCACCCAGCCTTCACACTAGAAATCAAAAATATCAGTCTAGAATATTGTATGTCTGTTATACAACGTCTTTGAATCTAGAATACTAGCCTTGCGATTGCATCTGTGTGGAATAAAAGTCCAGGTTTTCGGTACCCGATCTCCATACTGTAGATATAAAGGTGATTGTTTTGTGACTGGTTTCGATTTTTCGACATCTCCGGCTACGATGTTAACTACACAGCATGCCCTAGGGCGGTCCAATTTTATGGCTACAGAAAGTTCCCATTTGTTTTATTTTCTTCTACCGTGGAACGAACGTCCTCTTCGATGGTCGTCGTGACGACCAGTGTATTTGAAGTTCAGGCGTGTGGAGCTGGGAAAATGTCTTAATACATTAAGCAAATAATGGACAGTGCACGTTCATTTTTTGTCCTCACACAGAAATACGATAATGTGAGTGATTGCTGGAATATAGAGTGAAGAGTATATCTGTTTCGGAATTACCTTTTGCCTCCATACCGATTTATGACTTTTGTTTATTTAAAACTGTCTTATTTGAGCAATTTTCTAGACAGTTAAATTACCTCGCCAATTATTTCATTTGCTATGGCAATCTACTGAACCGTTACATCCTCCTAAATCAACCGGTCGACTAATCGCAGAAAATCGCTGCCACTAACAAGAAATTGGAAGTGGACCACCTAAATATCTGTGTAAGCAGCGTGGCGCGTGTGGCGTAGTGGTCGGAGGCGCCCAGCAATATACACGGAATCGATCCTTGTGCCTCAAGCTCACCAAGCCCTCCATCTCTTCAGGGCCGGCAAATTGGAACCAGACTTCTCCCAGAGGATAGCAGCAATGGCTCGATACATCGGGAAGCCACCGAGGGTCATTGTAAGGGCCAGATATGTATTCAATCACCTCCAACGATGCTTAATGAAGTCGAATGAATAGTGCATCCCTCAGGAATTGATCATCGCCGAGCGCTTCGTTGATATCATGTTAGGACTGTGATGTATGCAAATATTTCAAGATTAAAACAGAGCTGAAATAACTATAATTAATATTCCATAACTGTTCTAATCGGCGTTTCTTTTTTTTTCTCGATCGATGTGCAAAAGTTCTTCCAGTGCTTGAAAATTAACTTAAATAACCTGTCGCTCCTGATGATGGCTTTCAGCTATGAAAAGCAAGGTTAACAAAATAATGTGAAACAGGATACATTGGTTTTCCAGCGCTTTTGCTCTTTAGCAATCATGGTAGAGGTTGTAATAGATTTGGAATCGAAGAATCGAATCATGTGTAGAACAGACTATCCCTTAAAAGTATTGCGGTTTTAGGTATGATTAGGACAAAATCAAAATTTTTCCAACATTCGATAAGCAAACGCGCTTTTGTTTATCCAAGAAAAGATTTCGCCTATGACTGACTCCTTGCTTTATAAAACTAAAAAACGAACTGCCATAGCAACGCACAGAACGACGTAGATGCGAAAATCTCAGTAGAAATATTCATAGCTGAACGGAACACAGGCGCCTAATTTATAGTTTCTTACCATTGAAAAGATCTGACACAAAATGTAAAACATTCTGTAGTTTTCGAAGAAGTTCTCCAAGCGGTATGCATGTCCTGTTTTTTATCAGTTTAAGAAGGTAAAGGTTAGAACCAAGTTCGATAACAAAAGATGATGAGGTTTTTCGGAAAAAAAATCAGATATTTGTATTTTTGTATACGACGACAAAAAGTTGTAAACGATTAAGCGCC